GGGTAGGTCCGCAGACCTGTCAGCGGTGGTTAGCCAGTCGGGGTTTTGGTGGGGCTCATCAGAGCCCCACCATTTCCCCGACTGCATCCCCGCGACGCCAAACTGGAAGTCCCCTGTTCAGCAGATATATTCTCATTGTGCTCACAGAGAGAAAGATCTGCCTCTACCTAGGATCGAACTCACAGCCTCCTGATTGCAAGGCGACAGCTCCACCTCTAGGCCACTGCACCGCTCCAGGTGCTAGATAAATGCCATGATAAATTATATAGGAACATTTCTTTAACCAATATTCACTCCCATCACCTTTTGTCTCAGCCTCTTGTTGTAAGATTCCTAGTCAGTTTAGATATAAAATCAATACCATTTAGGTTTCAAATTACGGTTGGTTAATAAGCACCATTGATTGTGCTGAAAAATATATCAGCATTCACGTCTGAGCTTCCTCTAAATACATTTTGCAGTCAGTTTTTCCTCCTCTGTTACTTTTCCGATGTCCAACTGGCTTCTACCGGTATCAGATTTCACACTCGTGGGCTAAACTATTGTCTCCTTTTCTTCTTAACCGAGGGGTTTGTTTGATTTATTGTTCATTTTATGGAACGGCTTCAGGGGTGGGCTTCAAAAATTTTAGCAAGGGGTTCTCTGCCCAGTTGCTGGGCCACGTGGCCATGGTGGGTGTGGCCTAGTTGGCCTCCTGCACGACGGGCGGGGGGGGCATTTTTGCCATCCCCGGGCTCCAGAGTCTTTCCTTGAGCCCCCAGGAGGGCAAAAACGGCCACCCCAGGCTCCAGAGGCCCTCTGGAGGCCAGAAACGGGCCCATTTCCGGCCTTACCAAACTTCCGGTAGGCCCATTTTTCGCCCTCCCTGAGCCTCTGTGTGCACCCTGTACTTACCTGCATCCAAAACGGGCCGCGTGGGGACTCCTGGGAGGGGCAGGGTGGGGTGGGTAGGGCCAGCCAGGAATGAGATTTGGGGGTTTTCCGAACTGCACAGAATCTTAGCTAGAGGTTCTCCCGAACCCCTGCGAACCCCCAGCAGCCCATCCCTGAATGGCTGTGGGTGCTCCTCCATCACTGGAGGCTTTTAAGAAGAGACTGGACAGCAATTTGTCTGAAATGGTATAGGGTCTCCGAACAATGGGGTTGGACTAGAAGACCTCCAAGGTCCCTTCTAACTTTGTTAATCTGTATATCAAATCTACCTTAATTTGTTCGCTGTCTTACTTATGGCAGAACATTTAAGTGATTTTGCTGTTCTCCAGCTAAGACTTTTAGTACTTTTAGTTTATGTAGAACTTTTTTTTATGTCACATAAAGGGGTTTTCTACACCTCTTAATTAAATCCATACTTAAGTACCTTTTCCTTCATTGTCTCGTATGTACAATTTTCTGATTCAGGTATTTAGAATGCAAATTTCGCCAATACAGGTTCACTTTGCACCATAATTGCTACCGTTTGTGTGCAACTTTTCTTTGTAGTTTTTTTAATCTGAAAAGATCAATGTTAACGAACTATCGAAAACCAGTAGAAACATAATGCCCACATATTCTTCTAGCAGAATTTGTGAATATTTTTTTATAACATCCATAAAGGTAAAGGTTCCCCGTGCACATTCATGCTACTTGTTCCTGACTCTAGGGGGCGGTGCTCATCTCCGTTTCAAAGCCAAAGAGCCAGCACTGTCCGAAGACGTCTCTGTGGTCATGTGGCCGGCATGACTCAAAGCCAAAGGCGCATGGAATGCTATTCCCTTCCCACCAAAGGTGGCCCCTATTTTTTTTCTACTTGCATTTTTTATGTGCTTTCGAACTGCTAGGTTGGCAGAAGCTGGGACAAGTAACGGGAGCTCACCCCATTACGTGGCACTCGGGATTCGAACCGCTGAACTGCCGACCTTTCGATCGACAAGCTCAGCGTCTTAGCCACTGAGCCACCGTGTCCCTTTATAACATCCATAGCATCTATAGCCACCATCGAGAAGGCCTTATTTTCAATCATGTTACTATATTCCCTTCTCACATAGAACCACAAGCACAGCTGATGGATATTAAAACATACACTGACTAACATGAGTACAAGAAGTTATAGAGATTAATTGTAACATGGCGGCACAGTGGTTAGAATGCGGGACTGCAGGTTAATTCTGCCGACTGCCACCAGTTCGATCCTGACTGGCTCAAGGCTGACTCAACCTTCTGAGGCTGACTCAATCTTCCGACTCTAGCCTTCCGAGGTCGATAAAATGAGGACCCAGATTGTTGGGGGCAACAGGCTGACTCTGTAAACTGCTTAGAGACGGCTGTAAAGCACTGGGAAGCGGTATAGAAGTCTAAGGGCTATTGCTATTGCTCTACCTTTTCTCCCTCCCTCCCTCCCTCTTCCTTCCTTCCTCTACCTACCTTCCTACCCCCTTCCTTCCTTCCTTCCTTCCTTCCTTCCTTCCTTCCTTCCTTCCTTCGGTACGCAGTGGTTAGAATGCAGCATTGCAAGACTAATTCTGCCAACTGCCAGCAGTTCGATTCTCACCGGCTCATTATCTCTTAAATGCTGGCATCTGCTGTGGCATATTAAGAAAGACCGGGGGCTGTTTATTTTTTGCTTCTAAGAACATGTTTCTCCATTTCTCCTTTGGGGAAATATAATATTCTGCCTCTTTAATATTTCCCAAAATATTTGATTCTTCTAGGGGTGGGGTGGGGTGGCTTCTAACAGTGGGGGGGGGGGGCTTCCCACAGAGTGATATTTAGACTCAAAGCCCCTTTCCGTTGTCCTTGGAGCTCCGACAGAACCCGAATGATGAAAACGAAAAGGTGCTCTTCACATCATAACGAGGTGAAAGATAAATGGAAACTGTATTATATGTTCTAAAAGTAAAAGCTAAATAAATCTCCCTCCATGCAACATATGGCCAACATATTTCCCAGTCCTCGGTTCCTCAAAAGACATTAAAAGAAAAGGAGGGCCATGTTTACTTGCCAGAAGCTTGTCTCGCTTTTCTAAACATCAAAAGGTGGACCTTCTTCCCAAACATGCCGAAGAAAAAAGGAATGTAAACTTCAGTGAAAAGGAAGATAACCAAATAATATATGGGAAAACAGTTTTTTTCAAAAAAATAAAATACAGGTGTGAAGTAGAAAATCGATAATAAAAATATATATTTAGTCAGCCTTGAATCGAATCTGAATTTGTCAGTTAATCTTTACAGATTAACAGAGTTGGAAGGGACCTTGTAGGTCATCTAGTCCAACCCCCCACCCAAGCAGGAGACCCTGCACCATTTCTTAAACAGATGGCAGCCCAGTCTCTTCTTGAAAGCCTCCAGCGGTAAAGCTCCCACAACTTCTGAAGGCAACTTCTGTTCCGCCGGTTGATTGTTCTCACTGTCAGGAAATTCCTCCTTATTTCCTGGTTGAATCTTTCCTTGTTCAGCTTCCATCCATTATTCCTTGTCTGGCCTTCAGGTGCTTTGAAAAATAGGTTGACCCCCTTCCTCCTCTCTGTGGCAGCCTCTCAAATATTGGAAGATGCTATCCTGTCTCCCCTGGTCCTTCTCTTCACTAGACGAGCCATGCCCAGTTCCTGCAACCGTTCATTGTATGTTTTAGTTTCCAGGCCTTTGATAGATTGAGATTAACAGAGTTGGAAGGGACCTAGTAGGTCATCTAGTCCAACCCCCCACCCAAGCAGGAGACCCCGTATCATTTCTGACCGATGACAGTCCAGTTTCTTCTTGAAAGCCTCCGGTGATGAAGCTCCCACAACCTCCGAAGGCAACTCCTGTTCCATCAGTTGATTGTTCTCACTTCTTCATGATACAACCGTAAAGTTTTCCATTCAAAGTGGTGAAACTAAGCAGCATTTTTATTCCCTTCATGTCTTAATTAACACCACCAACTCTAAAGGAAAGAGACCATTAAAAGCATCATGAACATTCATATTATCTGAATGAAGGACACCTAAGGACACTCCCTTTGCTGGAACTGTCAACTTCTCCTTTGAAAACCAAGCAACAAATGAGCCTTCCAATAATGTATGGGTGCCATTTATGAGCCACTAACTCAGAAGAGGATTGCTCTTACCTGGCAACCTTCAGTTAAACATTTACAGCCCAAGAGATGGGTTTAAAATTACAAATGAACAATGTCCCAGAAGGAGTTTTACTTTAGCAGTTCATACTTCGGAGGACACCACTCCAACGTCAGAAGACACCCCTCCAATTGCTCTCCAAACAATTTTAAGAATTGTGTCGCAGTGGTTAGAGTGCAGTACTGCAGGCTACTCCTTCCTTCCTTCCTTCCTTCCTTCCTTCCTTCCTTCCTTCCTTCCTTTCTTTTCTTTTTTTGTTTTTGTCTTTTTAGTTTTCAGAAAAACTACTTCGATTCCTTCACTTTTTCTCATTCTTTTATCATGGTGTGTGCAGGTAATCTTATTAGGTTGAGGTAGTCCTCGACGTACGACCACAAGGGAGCCCAAAATTTATGTTGCTAAGCGAGACATTTGTGAAGCGAGTTCTGCTCCATGTTAACGACCGTTCCTTACCACAGGTGTTAAGTGAATCCCTGCGGTTGTTAAGACAGCAACATGGTCGTTAAGCGAATCCGGCTTTCCCTGTTGGCTTGGCTCGTCAGACGGTCGCAAAAGGGGATCCACATGGCCATGGAACCCTGCGACCGTCGTAAAGATGAGACAGTTGCCTAGCGGCTGAATTTTGATCACGTGACCACGGGGAGCCCTGCGACGGTCCGTAAGTGTGAGAAACGGCCCTAAGTACCTGTTGTAACTCTGAACGGTCGCTAAATGGACTGTCGTAAGTCGAGGACTACCTATATTTTTCTTCTTTGCTTTTTGCAATGAGTTTTGAATTTTTTTTTTAAAAAAAAAAAGGAGAAAAAAACCTCCTTACCCTGATTTTGTGACGTTCCTTGAAGCCTTCGATGCTTTCCACATCGTCTTTGACTTTCTTCTCCTGCGAGACGGGACCAGCCTGGAAGACGATCCGGGTGCTGGTTTCTGCCTCAGGCTGTTCTCCCAGCCAGCGTTTCCTCGCACCGGGACCTGGGACCCCCCGAGGGGAGGAAAACATCAGGATCCGAGGGTCTGATTCTTCCTTAAGGACCCCCGAATCAGGGGTTTTCCCCCCCCCCCCACGTTTATTTCTTTTATTATATAACACTCAATTTTCATCAAACTGTGTGTATCTGGGTACAATTATATTTTGATAAGTCATATTTATACATCTTCATTATATTTAGTCATCACCATGGTATTAATAATATAATAATATAAGAGCCTTGGTAGTACAGTGGTCTAAAGCACCCTGTTATTAAGACCAGCTGCCTGCAATTACTGCAGGTTTGAATCTCCCCAGGCTCAAGGTTGACTCAGCCTTCCATCCTTTCTAAGGTAGGTGAAATGAGGACCCAGTTTGTGGGGGCAATAAGCTGACTTTGTATAAAATATACAAAAGATGAAGGCTATTGCTTAGCGCCTTGTAAGCCGCCCTAAGTCTCCGGAGAAGGGCAGCATATAAATCAAATTAAAAAAATAAAATAAAAAAAAATATGATATAAATAACCTTAATGCATTTAACATTGAACATCGTCTTCTTTAACAAACTCTCCTCTATCCATTTCCTCCCTTTATATCTCTTCCTTTCTAACTTCTGTTTCTATTATCAAGCCATTGATAAAATGTGTCCCATATCAAAAAAATATTCAGTTTCTTCTTTATCCTTAATAGCAAGTGTTAATCTATCCATTTCTGCACAGCCTAATGTTTTTTTAATTACATTATCCTGAGATGGGGTCTCATCTGGCTGCCGTTAATATGTGCAAAATCAAATATGCAGTCTTTTTGTCATATTTTTTCTGGCAGAATATGCCAGCAGAAATATCTCTATGGTTTCAGATCTATATGTAGATTTATCATTTTTTTCCAGCCAGGTGTGTATTTTTGTCCAATATTTTCTCACTCTTGGGCAGGAACCCAAATCAGCTTTAAAAGGCTAACCCTTCCCTCATCAAAAACAGGAAGATTGAGCCCACCCACCCCAAAACCATCACTCCCAGGGAAGAAATGCATTTTCCGATGCTCCCCAAATCAATTAACTATCGACATATTTATTTAATTTATACCTCACCTTTAGTATTTTTACAGACAATTCAAGGCGGTGAACAGTTTCCTCCTGCTCTTTCCCCACAAAAACAACCCTGTGAGGTGGGCTGAGCTGAGAGAGAGAGAGAGAGAGAGGGACTGGCCCAAAGTCACCCAGCTGGCTTTCATGCCTAAGGCGAGACTAGAACTCACCATCTCCTGGTGACTGACCCAAAGTCAACCAATTGGCTTTCACAGCTAAGGTGGGACTAGAACTCACCATCTCCTGGTGATTGACCCAAAGTCAACCAATTGGCTTTCACACCTAAGGCAAGGCTAGAACTCACCATCTCCTGGTGATTCAACCAATTGGCTTTCACACCTAAGGCGGGACTAGAATTCACTGGCTCCTGTGATTGGCCCAGACTCAACCAGCCAGCCCATATGCCTATAAGGAAGGACTAGAACTCGCCATCTCCTACCAATAGGCTCAAAGTCACCCAGCCTGCTTTCATCCCTAAGGCAGTACTAGAACTCACAATCTCCCGCTCTCTAGCCTGGTGCCTTAACCACTAGCCTAAACGAGCACATCCTGTCTTTGCTCACCTCTCGGACTTGCTTGGGGATGTCATCAGCCTCCTCTTCCTCCTCCTCCTTTATCCCAGAGGTCACACTTTCCGCCTGGCTGGCGTCTGCGCAAAGAAAGCATCCGTCACTAAGAGGGAGCTGGGCCTGAGGTTTTGACACCCGGGATTTCCTTTCTGCAGAAATCCCCAACAGCTTCCCAGTTCTAAGCCCGTTCAACGAATTTGGCTTCTCCAAAAGGATTTCAGTGCTGGAAGTTCCCACGACTGCCTGCCTGAGATCCAGCCCGGCAGCCAAAGATCTCCTGGTGGTCTCCCATCCTTCTCTTCTTCCTCTCTGCAACTGCAAGACGTCTACTTCTGAAGCCCGTCAGAGGCTCCACGTGCCTCCAACTCTCTGCTGCGGGCACCTGGCCAAGCAAAAATGGCCTTTCCTGGGTTCACAAAGTGCAGGCCGCCCTCCGACTTGCAACCACAGCCGTCACGAAGTGAGATGGTCATTATCTGAGTCACATCCAATTTTATAACCTTTTATGTGGCGGTTGTTAAGCAAAGAAAGGTTGTGAAATTGGGTGTGACTCAGATAATAACTGTCTCACTTAAAGGTCTGGTCCCAATTGTGGTCACATGTCAAGGACTACTTCCAGGTGAGAGATTCCTGGGAGGCTCCAAGAGTAGCGTTTTTTCAACCTTGAAGATGGGTGGACTTCAGTTGTCAAGGTTGGTCCTTTCCTAACCAAGCAGATCTGGAGACTATCAAGATGTCTCCTTCTTTGACCCAAGGAGCTTCTTCTAACACATTTTCCACCCAAACTTTCTCTTCTCCCTTCCTTCTTTTGTTCTTATTTTGTTCCTTCCTCTCTCTTTACTCTCCCTCCTCCTTCCTTCCTTCCCTCTCTTTCTTTCTTCCTCTTATCCTCCGTCCCTTCTCTTTCCTTCCTTCCTTCTTCCTCCATCCCTTTTCTTCCTCCCTCTTTCCTTATCCTCCTCCCTTTCTTCCTCCCTCTCTTTATTCTCCCTAGCTTCTCCTTCCTTTTTTACTCTCCCCTCCCTTCATCTCTCCCTCTCTCCTCTTCCTTTCTTCCTCTTTTTATCCTCCCTCCATTCTCCTTCCTGCCTGCCTTTCATCCCTCCTTCCCTTTCCTTCCTCCCTCCTTCCTTCTTTATCCTCCCTCCCTTTTTATTCTACCTAGCTTCTCCTTCCTCCCTTCCCTCCCCTTCCTTTTACTCTCCCCTCCCCTCCTCCCTCCTTCATCTCTCCCTCTCTCCTCCTTCCTTTCTTCCTCTTTTTATCCTCCCTCTGTTCTCCTCCTTCCTTCCTGCCTGCCTGCCTCCATCCCTCCTTCCCTTCTCTTTTCTTCCTCCTTCCTTCTTTATCCTCCCTTCCTCCTTCCTTCCTTCCTTTCGTCCTCCTTCCTCCTTCCCTCCTCCCTCCCTTCTCTTCTACCTCCTTTCTCCCTCCCTCTATGGAGATTCTCCAGGTCCTCCAGGTTTGTCCCAAAGGTGCTTTTTCAAGAGGCAACTGGACTTTCTGGAAGGAAGTCCTTTGGTCCCTTCCTTCCCTTCGCCCCCAGACAAGGCAAGCCCACCCACTTTCCAGCACCTGAGTGATGACCCCAGGGTCAAAGCAGGGGCTCCAGCCTTCCCCAAACTTGATGGCCTCCTGGCGCAAAGGTACCTGCAGCATCGTTCTCCTCGGGGGCAGGGTCCGAGTCGCTGCAGTCCCCGTTGGTCAAGGTCAGATCCATCGTCCAACGGATTTCTTTTCTCTTTCATCTTAACCTGCGGAGAGATTTCCCAGGAGGCAACTTTCAGCCAAACCAAACTTCATCTCTGCAAACAGATCTCCCCATTTTCTTGGATCCCAAAATGAAGAAGATTTACCTCACAGTTGCAATGTTCCCATTTTAAAAAGTTTTTTTTTGCAGGCTGAGTCCAAAATTTTCAACTCCCAGAATTCCCCAGTTAGCATGCCTTAAGATGGGTGGACCTCAATTCCCATAATTCCCCATCCGTCATGCTTTAAGATGGGTGGACCTCAACGCCATAATTCCCCAGCCAGCAGGCTTTAAAGATGGGTGGACCTCAACTCCCATAATTCCCCAGCCAGCAGGCTTTAAAGATGGGTGGACTTCAACTCCCATAATTCCCCAGCCCAGCAGGCTTTTAAGATGGATGGCCTTCAATTCTTCAGAAAAATCTCCTTTTTTCGGGCCTAGTTAAGACCAGTGTTTTCCAACTTTGGCCACTGTAAAACATGTGGACTTCAACATATTGTGAATGTTTTTAAAATGTTATCTAATTTAATTAATTGGGTTGGGCCAAACTATGTTATAATAATAATTTTAATTAGCAATTTTATGATGTTTGTGTATCTATATTTTTGTTGACTGTACACCACCTTGAGTCCTACGGGAGAAAGGCGGTATAGAAATATAATAAATAAATAAATAAATAAATAAATAAATAAATAAATAAATATGGCTGGCTGGGAATTCTGGGAATTGAAGTCCACCCACCTGAAAGCAGGCTGCCTAGGAAATTCCCAGCTATGACCTATATCCTATTGGTCCGTATTTAAGTCAGTATTATTTCAAACTTAGCAGCTATAAATTGGGTGACCTCAACTCCCAGAATTCCCCATCAGCATGGCTGGCTGGCTGGCTGGCTGGCTGGGGAATTCTGGGAGTTTGAAGTCCATTCATTTTGACGTTGCTACAGTTAAGAAATGCTTCCTGCCAAACTCTTGCAAAAGTTAAACCGGCTTAATTCAGCTGCTCCGTTCTCCCGTCCCCCCCACACTCCAAAACAAAACTTTAGTTTATTATTTTAAAGGGGGACACCCCCTCCTGAGTCCCAGGATGTCCCAGAGCGCCCCCCCCCCGGTCCCCTCGCCATCTTTGCCCCAAAGGCCAGGCAAAGGAGAGAAGGAAATGTGCCCTTGTGTGTTTTGGGGAGGGGAGGGGAAGGGAAAGGGAGGGGGGAGGAACAAAGCCGCCAGCTGTTTGCCTTGATCCTGCAGGGATCAAAAAGGGATCTGCCCAGGCAGCAGGCAGGCAGGCAGACAGGGCTTCCCTTGGGTTGATTGCAAGAGACAAGAGGGAAAAAAAAACTTTTTAAAATGGGTTTTCCCAGCAAAGAATATTCAAAAAGAGAGAGGGAGAGGCTCTTGCTTATGGGCCCCCAGGCTGAAAACACAACACAACACACACTAGAGACACACAATCATTTCCGTGCACCGCTGCCTGCATGCCACCTTCATCACAAAAGGGTGAGACCGGCCTGGGATGGCATCGCATCTTCCCTAACGTTGTGTTCCAAAAGTGAATTAAATCACTTTTTAATTCTTGGAGCCTTGGTAGTACAGTGGTCTAAAGCACCCTGTTATTAAGACCAGCTTCCTGCAATTACTGCAAGTCCAAATCCCACCAGGCCAAGGTTACTCAGCCTTCCATCCTTTCTAAGTAGGTAAAATGAGGACCCGGATTGTGGGGGCAATAAGCAGACTTTGTATAAATATTCAAAAGTATGAAGGCTATTGCTTAACGCACTGTAAGCCCCCCTGAGTCTCCGGAGAAGGGCGGCATATAAATCAAAATTTAAAAAAAATTGCAAATCAAAGCAAATTCTGGATGGGCAGCCCTGCAGACCTTTAAAAGTACAGGAAGTCCTCGACTTATACCATTCATGGAGTTTTGGTCGAGTTACAACAGGTGGGGTGACAAAGGGGGCTTTTTCATTTTACACTAGGTCCCCGTCCCAGGTGTCCCCGGGGTGGGGTTGGCAAAATGCGGTGAAGGGTGGTGGGGGCAGGGGGGGGGGGGGGGTGGGCGTGTGGGATAGTGGGGGGTGTGTCACAGGGTGGGTTGGGGGGGGGGGGAGCAGGGACTGTGTGGAATATTCTTGGGGGTTGTTTTTCCCCTCTTGTCTCTTGCAATCAACCCAAGGGAAGCCCTGTCTGCCTGCCGCCTGCCTGCCTGGGCAATCCCTTTTTGATCCCTGCAGGATCAAGGCAAACAGCTGGCGGCTTTGTTCCTCCCCCTCCCTTTCCTTCCCCTCCCCTCCCCTAAAACACACAAGGGCACATTTCCTTCTTCTCCTTTGCCTGGCCTTTGGGCAAAGATGGCGAGGGACCGGGGGGGGGCGCTCTGGGACAATCCTGGGACTCAGGAGGGGTGTCCCCCTTAAAATAATAAACTAAAGTTTTGTTTTGGAGTGTGGGGGGGACGGGAGAACGGAAGCAGCTGAATTAAGCCGGTTTAACTTTTGCAAGAGTTTGGCAGGAAGCATTTCTTAACTGTAGCAACGTCAAAATGAATGGACTTCAACTCCCAATTCCCCACCAGCCAGCCAGCCAGCCAGCCATGCTGACTGGGGAATTCTGGGAGTTGAGGTCCACCAATTTATAGCTGCTAAGTTTGAAAAATACTGACTTAAATACGGACCAATAGGATATAGGTCATAGCTGGGAATTTCCTAGGCAGCCTGCTTTCAGGTGGGTGGACTTCAATTCCAGAATTCCCCAGCCAGCCATATTTATTTATTTATTTATTTATTTATTATTTATTTATTTATTATATTTCTATACGCCTTTCTCCCGTAGGACTCAAGGTGGTGTACAGTCAACAAAAATATAGATACACAAACATCATAAAATTGCTAATTAAAAATTATTATTATAACATAGTTTGGCCCAATTAAATTAATTAGATAACATTTTAAAACATTCACATATGTTGAAGTCCACATGTTTTACAGTGGCCAAAGTTGGAAACACTGGTCTAACTAGGCCCGAAAAAAGGAGATTTTTCTGAAGAATTGAAGTCCATCCATCTTAAAGCCTGCTGGCTGGGGAATTATGGGAGTTGAAGTCCACCCATCTTAAAGCCTGCTGGCTGGGGAATTATGGGAGTTGAGGTCCACCCATCTTAAAAGCCTGCTGGCTGGGGAATTATGGGAGTTGAGGTCCACCCATCTTAAAGCATGACGGATGGGGAATTATGGGAATTGAGGTCCACCCATCTTAAGGCATGCTAACTGGGGAATTCTGGGAGTTGAAATTTTGACTCAGCCTGCAAAAAAAAACTTTTAAAATGGGAACATTGCAACTGTGAGGTAAATCTTCTCATTTGGGATCCAAGAAAATGGGAAATCTGTTTGCAGAGATGAAGTTTGGTTTGGCTGAAAGTTGCCTCCCTGGGAAATCTCTCCCGCAGGTTAAGATGAAAAGAGAAAAGAACATCCGTTGGACGATGGATCTGACCTTGACCAACGGGGACTGCAGCGACTCGGACCCTGCCCCCGAGGAGAACGATGCTGCAGGTACCTTTGCGCCCAGGAGGCCATCAAGTTTGGGGAAGGCTGGAGCCCCTGCTTTGACCCTGGGTCATCACTCAGGTGCTGAAAGTGGGTGGGCTTGCCTTGTCTGGGGGCGAAGGGAAGGAAGGGACCCAAAGGACTTCCTTCCAGAAAGTCCAGTCGCCTCTTGAAAAAGCACCTTTGGGACAAACCTGGAGGACTGGAGAATCTCCATAGAGGGAGGGAGAAAGGATGTAGAAGAGAAGGGAGGGAGGGAAGGAGGAAGGAGGACGAAAGGAAGGAAGGAAGGAGGAAGGGAGGATAAAGAAGGAAGGAGGAAGAAAAGAGAAGGGAAGGAGGGATGGAAGGCAGGCAGGCAGGAAGGAAGGAGAACAGAGGGAGGATAAAAAGAGAAAGAAAGGAAGGAGAGAGAGGGAGAGATGAAGGAGGGAGGAGGGAGGGGAGAGTAAAAAGGAAGGGGAGGGAAGGGAGGAAGGAGAAGCTAGTTAGAATAAAAAGGGAGGGAGGATAAAAAGGAAGGAGGGAGGAAGGAAAGGGAAGGAGGGATGAAAGGCAGGCAGGAAGGAGAATGGAGGGAGGATAAAAAGAGGAAGAAAGGAAGAGGAGAGAGGGAGGATTAACTGTTTTTTAAAAGCAGGGCTGCTGGAGCTGTGGACCAGGAAGCCTGCTTCTTTGCGATGGAGTGTGTGTGGGGGGGGGGGGGGGGGGTATCTGTGTGTGAAATGATCCCAGTTCGATTCCTCCGGAGATGAAATGGGAGTTGGGGGAAGAGCCGCAGAGTGCTGGCGAGAGGAAAGATTATGGAGAAAGGCAGGACGTGAGCTCATTACGTATTCTTGCATTCATTAAGCGGTGCAAGAATATCACATTTTACTTGCGAGCATTTCTCGCCAACGCGGTTTCCCTTTGAAAGGAACCTCAAAAGCAAAATCTGCTTTCATCAAACGGAATGAGAAATGCGAGGGAATGCAGCAATGCAGGCTCCACCTTGAACTAGGTCTAACGTAGCCCTTCGCTGTCATTTTTGGCAAAGTAAAATGGGGAAATATAAGGTTGCCCATGTTCATCACGGCAGCTAAAAGCCATCCTTGGGTTAAAAAGGGAGAACAGAACGTCATCCGTGGTGTAGCAGATGCATTTCTGGGCTGGGTAGTCCCAAAACTATTAAGGTTTGCTTTGTGGGGAGGCCTGGCTGGGTTTTAAAAGAAGGAAAAGGGGTGCCTAAAGAACCCCCCACCTCCTCTGAATGTTCTCGGGAGATGAGGTCCTTGGTGTTCCAGATGCCTCCAAATTGCTTCCAGGTTCAAGACTAACAAATCACTTATCTTCTCCTTTGATACTTTTGATAAGAGGAATAATAGAAGGAAACTGATCAAGGAAAGATTCAACCTGGAAATAAGGAGGAATTTTCTGACAGAGAGAACAATCAACCCATGGAAC